ATCTCTCACTAAAATCCAAAATATCTTATCCTCTTCTAGAGCTACCTGAACAGGAAATCGGGTTACAGTTGGCCTTAGTGACCTGAGGGCGTGACCGCAGTACTTAAGGGAAAACTTCTTGAGACCGGTCACACACAACCATTTTGTGGGTGACTTTTGTGTTAGTTTCGTATTTGTTGAGAACTGATAGCCCAGCTAACGTATATTCGTGGGATAATGTGAGGTGTGCATCATTAGGGTCAACTTATTCTAATCTCACCCTTCCTTGTGGGAGTGCAGCATGGCTGTCATGCTGGCTGTGTGAAGGGAAAACCTTACTACCGTCACACCTCCGTACGGTCAGCATTACTACTTCACTCTCAAAACTTGTGTTTGCTCCTTTTAGTCATATGTTCTTCAACCGATCTGTCTAACACGGAAGGACCTTGATGAATGATTGTAGCAGCCAGTATAGCCCGGTTGATTCACCGGGATAGGCAGGCCTGATCATTACGTCAATGTAGGAGTGGTGGTTGTGACCTGTTATCGTAAATCTGATTGATTCTTCCATAAATTATAGTCTTGCCACACATTTTAATTCACCAAGTGATCATTGAACAAAATATATTTAAACTAATAAAGTCTTAAATCCAAGCACATCCTAACAACTAAATCGATTAGATCCAGCTGATTACTGTATTTTGAATACTGAATACTAACGTTTTCGAATGAGCTATGGATGTAACTCATTTCAATAGTTATTCACTGATCACCTCTCTTTTATATCAATTCTTCTGAATTCAAACAATTCACGCTATCGATGCCATGATAATCGAAGAAAACTAATGTAAAAAAGAAGGGTGTGACTGCAGTCAAGAAAAAACCAGCACCGTTAACTCTCAACTGCGAAGATGATGATGTCGCAAGCCCGATCAGCTGGCGGTTTAGTAATGAATTAGCCAAAATATGCACGTCAGTCAAATGATTAATACTGCATAAAACAGCATGTTCAATAACACAAACAAAGGTCGGCAAGCACCCCTTATATGTTATCGACAACTGTGTTTATAAATTTACGAGTACCTGCCATAGCAGTTGAATCGGACGGACAAAAAGGAGGTCATGTCGTAGATATTTTGAACATGTTCCAAAAGCCTTCTTACAAAAGAGAACCACTTTAAACAGCGCAATTACTAAAACTCTCTACGGTTTAGGATATCAGGTCGGTACCGTGCAATGTTTCAATGTAATTAATAAACACACAAGCTCCAGTCTTCTTGTTTCCTGAAGCCAGTGCTATCAGGTGTCAGAAACCTGATTTATGTGTACCAGAGGAGACAGTTGCTAATCTTTCTATACCTATGTGACAAATATTCCTTTATTACACAATAAAAATTTTGTTCAATTCTTTACTTCAATTAATTACATGATGACATCTCTTTATTTCGACTGTCTTCTAGAACAGTAATTTTACTTAAATTTAATAGTTGACTTCATGAGTCAATTGAAGCTAAATCACCATGAAAAACCTGGAAGCACTGGATAGCCATTCCATTCTAGTGTGGGACTCCTCAGCAGTGCACATTCACGATCCCGCCTCACGACATATTGGTCTCATGCGTGAACGCATAACATCTAGACCACTGCGCTGGCACCCAACGGTGTTAATGTATAACTTCAACCGATCGTGGAATTAAATGAGCTTTACTCAAAATATTCTTTCTTATTAGCATTTACTCATCACGTAACAACATTTGTGTAGCCCCCTGGACCTTTCCCACAATATTGCTCTATAATATTGCAGTAAATTGATATTTGAATATTTTGAATACATAACTTTAATAATTGATGATAAATATGTTTCTTGTTGTATATCTAATTCCGATAGAACAAAAATTATGTTCATTAATAATTTTATTTTCTATGCTCAATTTATCACAGATTATTAAGCTCAAACTTGGCGTTGATACTTACAAATACATTTAACACACGACATTAATCTTGTTCATTTTTTTATCAAAATTTTCTTTCTTAGAAATGTCTAATTAAAGTAATAAAGCCATTCTTTATTGGTCCATGGAAAGGAGCACAAACTACATTGTACACAGTGTTGTCAGACAACATAATCTCTGGTGGTTACTATTCAAATTGTTCATTGAAAGAACCGTTAACAATTGTCAAGAATAAAGATGAAAGAAAATGGTTTTGGAACAAAACATGTGAACTATTAAGAATCGAAAATACAACATAGACAATTGTTACTTTTGACAAAATCAAGAGTTTATTTCACATTTCTAAACTAATGATTTTGTTGGTATTTTGGTTTAAAAGTTGAAAATGCATAAAACAATTCCGATTATTGAAGTGGACATGTTAAGGCTAGTTATGAATGAAACAAATATACACATACATGAATATATAATATGCTTAATAATCTATCAATATCAGTAGTTTCAATAAATATAGGTGGAACACTCACTAGCATCTAGAGAATGAACCAGGAAGCATCGGTTCATCTGTGGTCTACTCTTTCTCTCTCTCTCTCTCTCTTTCATTCTACTCAACCAACCAAACCAACAGGAAATGAGTTTTGTAATGTATAAGAATCAATATGAAATGTGAACACATCGCAGGTTGTTAGATGTTCGACCGTTAACAACTAGTCTTTCATACAAAATCAACATGCCATATCCATTTATCCACTCATTCATAACATGGGCGATGTAATGAATGTTACTACCATCCAATGATTAATCCATGTAGTTTAATTCTCTGACTGATTGTAAATTCGATTTAATGAAAATGTCAAACCACTGTCAGATGAGACTAAGTCACACTGTATTTTTGTTTATTTAATTCACTTACATCAAATATGAGCGTCTCCTAGTCTGAAGCTGGTCAGCTTACCGAATTGTGAGTAACTGGCATAGACAAATATATACAGGTGATAGAACAAATAGAAGGATTAAACTAATCTATCTGTTCGAATGTTAGAACAAATCACGTAAGCGTGTGATAACAGAGATTTACTATCGAATATTCAACCAATAACTAATCAACGAATGTCAATTCATTTCATAAACAGCCTTATCAGATTGACAAAATGGTCTCATCACAAATAAGACTACGTTGTGAAAACATTCATACAATACATGATTGATCCCCAGTGCATTATTTGTCCACGATCATAATGTTTATTTAATTAAGTGATGGAGATACTAATGAAACCGTCACTTTGTCAGTTACATTTCTTATAATCAATATAAAACAAAGTAGTTACTAGAAGATATCTTGAATAACTCGATTATTGCTTGAGATATTGAATATTAGTGAACTTCGGAAGCTCTCATTTATCTTTTAGTGTCAACGTCTTTAGTATTAGTGTAAGGGTTCCGATAGCACAACAGGAGTATCAGTATAAATCTCGCAACTGATAAATGACGTTTTATACTAAGTATTACATCATGAATCTTCGGCGATGAACAATGATTGAAGTATAGATTATTTTCATTGCATTAAATTCAGACTGTCTATTCTACAATCCATTTTATTTTACTAACTATAGTAGAAATTGAACTTAACATAGTTTAATTAAAAACGATCTATTTGATCAAAAATATCATGATGTGAACTAATCCAAAAACAATTAGACAAATATTTCTCAGTGTATCAGTTAATATCAATATGCTCGGAAGTTTTGGATAGTCATCTAGAGTGGACCATGGAGATTGTGTTGTTTGAGATACGTTCATGTTGAAATCATGAGTCTATGAAGTTAAAAAAACTTAATTGTGGAACTAAATTTCATCATTCCTGATCGACGCCGAATGAAGTCAACGACGAACACCAAGTATGTTTTGTCGAGTAATGCACTCTTCGGAACAGTTCCACTAGACAACAAATAAGTATAATGTTCCACATTGCCTATTTCAGCAGCATATACAAATAGAGAGGAAAACATATACTGTATTGTAAAGTTTCCATCTCAGGTCATTCCCATCTAAGTCGACGGAGGGAAGTAGTGAGATATCCGGTTACCGGGTGGACATCTTATGTAGATGGCCCAGCAGATCAACACTGTTACGGAGGTCAATACACCTGCTTCAATCAACGTTTCGATGGACAACGTGGCACAGACTGAAGCAAACAAGGAAGTGGCACGGCAACAGTGACTTTCTTTTAAATGGGAGACGAGAGTAGTATATGCTAATTCGGTTGACATATATAATTAGTACGTAACACTCATCTGAAGTGGAATACATGACAGCAGACGATTATAAGAAGATCGAATTGAAGACAACAGGAATGTAAACTGAGAGTAATTGGTATAACTGCAGGTATGAGGGAACAATGAATTTTGTAAGGGAAACATACAAAAGGAGATGTACAAATAATCGATTTAATGTAAGGTTTTCACATATTAACAAGTCATTCACGTTTGATTTATGGAGATGTAATTTATAATACAATTCAAGCTAAACTCACTCAAAAAGTGATTATCAACTTCATTGTATTCAAAAATTTGAACAATAAATGTGCAGTTCATCTTAATCAAACTTTGACGCAAAAATTCGTGCTTAATCTTCTAAATCAGGACATGACAAAATATCAGTGATAAAAGTCTAATACCCATCTTGTATTATGGTCAACTGATTGCTTATCGAGTGTACAACTGAAATCGATTGATGAATCTGGCCACCTAATTAAGTGCTCACATACTCTGTTTCTCTGTTAGCACCAATCAATCCGCACATTGAAATCATATTACCCTTCACATTATTGGAAGAAAGTTAACAAATGACAACTTTGAAATCACGTATTTCTTTCTCTACCTTGACACATTATTATAGTCACTTTCAAAGTTTACAACATTCTACATACGGATAGGTTGTTGAAAATCGACTGGTTAAAGACACGTCTCTCAAATTGTGACACTATTCTGATCTGAACTGAGAATACATCCGAATTTGTAAACATAGTTTCACACATAACGCACGACCAGTATACAATCGGTTCGATAAATGTCTGAGACGATTGGGACTTGGCACAGAGCATGTTGTATTTCGAAACGATTAGATGGGAAGTTAGCCATTGTCACTGGATCGAACACTGGTATCGGATTAGTGACAGCTGGTGAGTTGGCTCGTCGTGGTGCTCGTGTCATCATGGCATGTCGAAATCTAAGAAAGGCTGAAGATGCCAAAAATAGTTTATTGGAGAAATGTGGTGCCAATAATCCACAGAGTGTGAACATTGATGTAGCGTGTAAACAAGTGATCTCATCGTTGAGTCCAATTTACAGTGACCAAGTGAGTTCATTGATTTTACAATCGATTCAAGTAAATATGTGCCTGAATATTAGTTATTGGTTTATGTTAATATTGAAGTGTGATGTTTTCATTTAAATGTCATTGAACAAACCTGAAATCTGTTGAGCACATGACAACATTTCCGTCTATCCATTCATGGAACCCTTACATTGTGGAGTCGATATGCTAGACTATCATTCTGTCCTACAATAAGATTTAGTAATGAAATTTAATTATGCTATATTCCCGAATGTAGTCAAGATGAAAACAGAATGCTTACATTCGACTCCATGTAACTTCTGAGTATAACGAAATTCAATGACCAGTTTTTAATCACAGTGACTGAATCATAAATCATTGAAGTGGATGTTAGCGTTCCATTCTAAAGTAAATTACTCGATAATCTGAATACAGTAACTTCCAGTGTAAGAGTAAAGAACCTGACTACAATGTAGAATGTGAATCACGTTGTATGAATTGATTAGTAAAGGGAGATGCATGTGATTAAATATGAGAGCACCCACACTTACGTTGTACGGCAATAAACACCTACTACAAATATCGTCCAATCGTTCTGGTTAATTCTGCATTTACCTAATGGAACTGTTTAGTATTGGGCGACAAAAACACATTGGAACATTAGTTGTGATTTAGTGGTTGGAGGTGCGTGGAATCTACACATCATAAATACACAAAATATGGCAAACCAGCGCAACGTCTTCTGTTCGATTGAAATGAAGAACTTACTACCGATATCTGGAAGTTTGATTAATAAATCTACTTCACTTAAAATATCTCTTCCACTCATATTTTCTATTAATGTCAATCAGTTTGTGTTTCATTGGGATTACCTTCCATTTAGTTATGTTGGACAAAATGTTCGTTTCTCAGTGTTTTTATTGATTAGAACCCTGAAACTTTAACATGCTAAAAACTGTTCTGAATTGTTTCTAATTGCATGCTAAGTTTCCAGTGTTATTCAATCTCAAAAATAGTTCAATACTGTTGACAGAACTAAATGATTGAATATGTGGAGAGTATTAGATTAAATGAGAATCATATGACGAATTCGTTTGATAGACAATTGAGAATGTTAAATAAGAAAGATTGGTTCAGCGAATAGCTTTCTTTTCGGCGAATTCATTTTCAAAGCTGTACAATCGCAAATATGTATACTCATTTTGAAACTCAAGAAGCACTGGACAACGGGGCGGACAATATCACAAAAGTTCAATACGGCCTTTCTTCAGGATACTAACAAACTCAACAAATTCAAGATAGTCCTCAGCAACAAGTTCCAGGCCTTTCATGATCTACTCAATGGAGAAGGAACTACTGTGGAGAGCAACTGGAAGGGGATCAAAGAGGCAATCACTTCAACATGTCATGAGGTCCTGGGTCACAAGAAGCACCATCACAAGGAATGGATCACTGTTGATACACTGGATAAGATTCAAGAAAGAAGGAACAAGAAGGCAGCAATCAATACCAGTCGAACAAGAGCAGAAAAAGCCAAGGCACAAGCTGAATACACAGAAGTTAACAAACAAGTGAAGAGGAGCATCAGAACCGACAAACGTAAATATGTGGAAGATTTAGCAACGACTGCGGAAAAGGCTGCAAGAGAGGAAAACATGAGACAATTGTATGACACGACAAAGAAACTCTCTGGAAATCGCCGCAAACCAGAACGACCAGTGAAAAGCAAGGAAGGTGAGGTAATCACCAACACTGAAGAGCAAAAAAACAGGTGAGTAGAACACTTCAAAGAACTCTTGAATCGACCAGCTCCACTGAACCCACCCAACAACAAAGCAGCACCCGCGGACCTCCCAATCAATGTTGGCCCACCAACAATTGAAGAAATCGGCATGGCCATCAGACAAATCAAGAGTGGCAAAGCAGCAGGACCGGACAACATCCCAGCAGAGGCACTAAAAGCAGACGTAGCGGCAACTGCAAGGATGCTCCACATTCTCTTCAATAAGATTTGGGATGAGGAACAAGTACCAACAGACTGGAAAGAAGGACTTCTGATCAAAATACTGAAGAAAGGCGATCTCAGCAAGTGTGATAACTACAGGGGCATCACTCTTCTCTCAATACCGGGAAAAGTCTTCAACAGGGTATTGTTAAACAAGATGAAGGACTGCGTAGACGCCCAACTTCGTGACCAACAGGCATGATTCCGTAAGGATAGATCGTGTACAGACCGAATCGCAACTCTACGGATCATTGTGAAAAAATCAATTGAATGGCATTTGATAGCGTGGACAGAACAACACTATGGAAACTTCTTCGATACTATGGTGTGCCTCAGAAGATAGTCAATATCATACAGAAATCATATGATGGATTAAACTGCAAAATTGTGCATGGAGGACAGTTCACAAAGTCGTTCAAAGTGAAGACCGGTGTCAGGCAAGGTTGCTTACTCTCACCCTTTCTCTTTCTCCTGGTGATCGACTGGATCATGAAGACGTCAACATCCGAAGAGAAACACGGGATACAGTGGACAGATAGGAGGCAGCTGGACGATCTAGACTTCGCAGATGATCTAGCCTTCCTATCCCAAACGCAACAACGGATGCAGGAGAAGACGACCAGTATAGTAGCAGCCTCAGCAACAGTAGGTCCCAATATACACAAAGGGAAAAGCAGGATTCTCCGATGCAACACTGCATGCACAAATCCAATCACAATTGACGGAGAAGATTTGGAAGATGTAAAAACCTTTACATATCTGGGCAGCATCATTGATGAAAACGGCGGATCTGATGCAGATGTGAAGGCGCGGATCGACAAAGCAAGAGCAGCATATTTACAACTGAGGAACATCTGGAACTCAAAGCAAATGTCAACCAACACCAAGGTCAGGATTTCCAATACAAACGTCAAGACAGTTCTACTGTCTACTGGGGCGGAAACCTGGAGAACTACGAAAGCCATCATACAGAAAATACGAGTGTTTATTAACAATTGTCTACGCAAAATACTTCGGATCCATTGGCCGGACACTATTAGCGACAACCTACTGTGGGAGAGAACACGCCAGATCCCAGTGGAGGAAGAAATCAGGAAGAAGCGCTGGAAGTGGATAGGACACACATTGAGGAAAGCACCCAACTGCATCACAAGACAAGCCCTCACATGGAATCCTGAAGGTCAAAGGAAAAGAGGAAGACCAAAGAACACATTACGCCGAGAAATGGAGATAGACATAAGAAAAATGAACAAGAATTGGATGGAACTAGAAAAGAACGCCCAGGATAGAGTGGGTTGGAGAATGCTGGTCAGCGGCCCATGCTCCATTGGGAGTAACAGGCGTAAGTAAGTAAGTAATAATATTGATAATAAACTTCTGTTAAACATGGTGACAGTGAGGTAGAATAAACAAAGGTATTTTTAAAAAAAATTAAACAGAGAAACTGATAATCATTTGATTGTTAATGGCTTAAATATTCATCAAAAGATAGATAAGTAAATTATCATTGGGAAAGGATGGCTCAGCATGATAAGATAAAATGTTGAAAATGAGATTAAATGTAATCAAGAGGATCGTACAAACAGAAATAAACCAGATAGGGGTAGAAGGTTTAAAAAGAAAAAGGAAGGGGAAGCAGATGGCTATAAAGGAAAAAGAGTATGAGGCAATGAAAAGGAAAAAGAAAGAAAATTGTAAGACATTAAGACCATGGGTCGTATCCATCTCTTTTAGACACACAATTCTGGTTTTCCCAGATGTATGGATATTGCTTCGGCAATGCTAAGAGGATGCAATATAATTGTCTTTGAAAGACTTCTACTTACCTTGTAGATGACTTTGAACGCAGAGATTGTTTTGATTGAGTGACCTGTGTTCACAAGATGTTCGATTATAGAACTTCTTGTTGAGCCGTTTCCTCTTCTTCTTAGCCATGTCAGATAATGTTCTTGAATTCTTTTGGGTAAAGCACGCATTGAACGACCTATATACCTGGCTCCACATGAGCGGTTAAATTGGTAAATGCACATTGAGTTGGTCAAATAAGGAATCAGAAATTCGCCTCTTTAAGACTTATGTGGCTCTGTCACTCTTAAGTCGATGTTCGTGTATAATGTTTTCTTTTCGACTGAAGTTATTTGTGTTTCCGGTGGTTTCCGTCTTATGTTCTTATCAATGAATACCAAAGGACACCCGTTTTTGATAAGTATTGTGGGGCCCCTTATTCCGAAGTCATCTAGATTAGACGATGTTGTCGAAAGGGCTCTCCACTTTAGTGGCCTGAGATCTGACTCCATGTAGATCGTATGGATGATCGCTGTCGAAATATATATATCGCCTATCCTCGTATGTAATCATCGACTTAAATAGCGTTAGTCAGTAACGAAATTATATAAGTCAAATAACGAGAATGGACTTTTGAATACATATATTTTGTATATGAAGCGAATGGAATAGAGAGAAGCGAAACGACGTGCAGTGGAGATGGCGGTTAAGCCAACTCCCCTTTAACCAAGCGTTAATCAATATTTATAATTACACAAAAGTAAGTTACAGACATGTGATGAGCAATGGGATAAGAAATGTACACACACCTACGCGCTCATATAAAAACAGTCAAGGTTGATAAGCGAATAATTAACAAGGTCAGAATGTGACTCAGGTAGAATGAATAGAATGGGTTGTCCGATAGCTAGAATAAGTTATATGGGCTTAACATAATAACCGACACTACAATATTTCCTTCAAGAGGCCCAGTTCGCCATCGATGATCTCAGGCCTAAAAATTCTATGTATTCTCGTAGCGAGTAATACTGTTAAGTTTCTCTTTCGACTATTGGGGACTCAGCTGTGGAAACTTGATAACTGACCATTCCACATGTGTTTCCTGTAGGTAGATCTTTTTAGAGTTTCATCTTGCTTTTTGTCGTTTCCACATCAAGAAAGTGGATAATTTGTTTGTTTCCAACTTTACGTGTGAAATTTATTGCTGGGTGACAGTAATTAGATGTCTTTCGAAGATGACTGAATTCATATTATTGTCACAAGTGGAAGATTTCTAACGTCGTTTTAAGTTGATTGCTTTCTAGACTGGCCATGAAGCAATTTGCTAGTAATGAACCAAGAGCGGAACTCATTGTTATACTATCCTTTTGCCTATGAATTACGTCGTTGAATGTAAACCGTACATTGCAAGTGCAACGTAGTGGTAGTTCATCCAATCTTAATCTCATTATTATTTACGTAATTGCAGATAAAAACTGATGGTCTCTGTGACAATAACAGAGTGGTGCGTAAATATCACGTGATAAAAAGATAACGATCTCCGTGACTATTGGGTTCAATTATAATAGATGTTCTGTAAATTAAACGATGTATTATTCTTTATTGAGATAATTCGAATTAGTATAAAATGTTACGATTTTGCTAGAATGGTATCCTCATATTAAGAGTACAATACTTTCTTTCTTTTTCATCACATTTGGTCCATGGTTATTATTTATACAAAACATACTTCCAAATTATCTTTCAGCTCATCATTGAACAACTTGATTTGGCTTCTCTACAATCAATCAGAGAATTTGCCAGACGAATCACAGTCAATTATTTAGAACTTCATTTTCTTATTAACAATGCTGGTCTTGCAGTTAGTAAATATGAGAAAACTGTTGATGGTTTTGAAATGACAATGGGTGTTAATCATTTTGGAACATTCCTAGTAACGGAATTGTTATTACCTTTGATAAAACGTTCAACTCCATCTAAAATCATTAATCTTTCATCAATGGCACATTATAAAGGTCATTTAATTAAACCAGATTTGTAAATTCAACCAAAAAAATATGGTGAGGTAAAAGCTTATTGTTCATCAAAGTTAGCCAATACAATGCATGCTGTTGAATTAAGTGAGCGATTGCATGACAGTGGAATCACTGTTGTCAGTGTACATCCTGGAGCCGTTAAGACAGAGATTTTTCGAGATGTGAAAGACTGTTCACTGGTAAGTTGAAAAACACAGAAATTATTTCGTTTTCGTATTTCAAATTTCCGAAGTACATTGAAATGTTTTGCAAATGAATATTTTATTACTAACACATTCAATTTAATGAAACTTATCACTTAACTCATTCTCAAACTATCAATCATGATTGAATCACAAGCTCGTCTATACTTATCATTCCAGATGAGTTCGATTTTATGGTAAAATAGTTGCCAAATTACCAAAGTATCAACATCAAATGATGTCGTAAAACTATGACTCTTCATCCACTTATACTGTGTCAGTAACTAAATGACTCAAGTAAAATGGGTATGACTTACACTTTAAGATATTCATTGATGAATCTTCTTAAATACCTTTCATCTGTCGGATTCACCAACTTCAACATAATTTAATCCCTTTACTGGTCAGGTTGATGTTTATTATCTTTTAAATAGATATTTCATAACAAATTTATTATTCCTGGTGAATGTATTATTCTTCCTGATTTCTATTTAGAAATGTATCATTGCAATCAAATGGCTAACATTTATCAATCCATGGAAAGGAGCACAAACTACATTGTACACAGTGTTGTCAGACAACATAATCTCTGGTGGTTACTATTCAAATTGTTCATTGAAAGAACCGTTAACAATTGTCAAGAATAAAGATGAAAGAAAATGGTTTTGGAACAAAACATGTGAACTATTAAGAATCGAAAATACAACATAGACAATTGTTACTTTTGACAAAATCAAGAGTTTATTTCACATTTCTAAACTAATGATTTTGTTGGTATTTTGGTTTAAAAGTTGAAAATGCATAAAACAATTCCGATTATTGAAGTGGACATGTTAAGGCTAGTTATGAATGAAACAAATATACACATACATGAATATATAATATGCTTAATAATCTATCAATATCAGTAGTTTCAATAAATATAGGTGGAACACTCACTAGCATCTAGAGAATGAACCAGGAAGCATCGGTTCATCTGTGGTCTACTCTTTCTCTCTCTCTCTCTCTCTTTCATTCTATTCAACCAACCAAACCAACAGGAAATGAGTTTTGTAATGTATAAGAATCAAAATGAAATGTGAACACATCGCAGGTTGTTAGATGTTCGACCGTTAACAACTAGTCTTTCATACAAAATCAACATGCCATATCCATTTATCCACTCATTCATAACATGGGCGATGTAATGAATGTTACTACCATCCAATGATTAATCCATGTAGTTTAATTCTCTGACTGATTGTAAATTCGATTTAATGAAAATGTCAAACCACTGTCAGATGAGACTAAGTCACACTGTATTTTTGTTTATTTAATTCACTTACATCAAATATGAGCGTCTCCTAGTCTGAAGCTGGTCAGCTTACCGAATTGTGAGTAACTGGCATAGACAAATATATACAGGTGATAGAACAAATAGAAGGATTAAACTAATCTATCTGTTCGAATGTTAGAACAAATCACGTAAGCGTGTGATAACAGAGATTTACTATCGAATATTCAACCAATAACTAATCAACGAATGTCAATTCATTTCATAAACAGCCTTATCAGATTGACAAAATGGTCTCATCACAAATAAGACTACGTTGTGAAAACATTCATACAATACATGATTGATCCCCAGTGCATTATTTGTCCACGATCATAATGTTTATTTAATTAAGTGATGGAGATACTAATGAAACCGTCACTTTGTCAGTTACATTTCTTATAATCAATATAAAACAAAGTAGTTACTAGAAGATATCTTGAATAACTCGATTATTGCTTGAGATATTGAATATTAGTGAACTTCGGAAGCTCTCATTTATCTTTTAGTGTCAACGTCTTTAGTATTAGTGTAAGGGTTCCGATAGCACAACAGGAGTATCAGTATAAATCTCGCAACTGATAAATGACGTTTTATACTAAGTATTACATCATGAATCTTCGGCGATGAACAATGATTGAAGTATAGATTATTTTCATTGCATTAAATTCAGACTGTCTATTCTACAATCCATTTTATTTTACTAACTATAGTAGAAATTGAACTTAACATAGTTTAATTAAAAACGATCTATTTGATCAAAAATATCATGATGTGAACTAATCCAAAAACAATTAGACAAATATTTCTCAGTGTATCAGTTAATATCAATATGCTCGGAAGTTTTGGATAGTCATCTAGAGTGGACCTTGGAGATTGTGTTGTTTGAGATGCGTTCATGTTGAAAACAGTGACCATAAACCGAGCCCCAAAATACTTAGTCTATAGGCTTACATTGTTTACCTTTCGATAATCTTTTTTGCACCACACTATACTACTTTATTAATCGAAGTAAATAATTTCACTTTTCGTTATTTTGAACATACAATACATCATACTTCATGTTGTTGTTTAGAATTCCTAAAGCATTTGCGTAAATTTATAGTACTCCTTTTACATATCGATATAACTATATCTTAACATGTGTCACATTAAGTCTTGGTCTTTTTTGAACTCATTGGATCTGTGTTTTAATGTGACAGTTTTCATAAATTGTCTTCTTAATCTCCATTTCCAATGTTCACACTCATTCTTGAACTTAGAAACAGTTCCTTGTTATTATTCATGCAATCGTATGTTTAGAACATTTTTAATGCAATTACCTCAGAAATTGATTTGACCTTCTATGATCACCGACGTGTTAAACCTTGTAAATAGATCACTATTTCCTAATATTTTTATAATAATAATAATGGAGCTTTGTAGACAAAAAATTGTTTTAAATTCTCGCCTTTCACAAGTAACTCCGTCGTTTGATCAGATGCTTCGATAGCATTAACATAAATGTTGTTCATATCTTAATACATATTATTGCTTACACAGAATATACAATAGCGAAAGTACATCATTGCTTGCCTGTAGCAATGAATATTGTTACACGTAATTTATTCTAACCCTTGGACAGATGAATTATTCTAATCTTTCAAGTCTTTATGTCGTCTGTGTGTATGAACTTGAGCACTTGTGCATGATGTTGTAATATGTTTATGTACACTAACTAGTATGTCTTTCATGCTTATAAATACTGTCACTCATTATTGAGCAGGCATGTTTACCTTATTCACCCCTTATCTCTTGTTACCTCTTGGCAGTAACAGATTTATGAAACATATGAATCCGAAATCATTGTTGTATTTAACTGGCTTTATTTCATTATTCACCAACGCGAATAAGTCTATGAAGTTACACAAATTTAATTGAGGAACTATATTTCATCATTCCTGATCGACGCCGAATGAAGTCAACAACGAGCACCAACAATGTTTTGTCGAGTAAAGCACTCGTCGGAACAGTTTTATTAGACAATAAATAAGTATAATGTTCCACAGTGCTTATTTCAGCAGCATATACAAATAAGGAGGAAAACATATACTGTATTGCAAAGTTTCCATCTCAGTTCATTCCCATCAAAGTCGACGGAGGGAAGTAGTGAAACATCCGTTTACTGAGTAGACATCGCATCCCAATCACCAATACATTTTTCGCTAGCAGCACTTTCAGTCCCTTTTCCGTTAACTGTTTGGGCAGCTGCTGTATATTACAGTGTGATTTTCAGTCAAGCTGACATTCAAGCCCCAGCCTTCACTATATGTTTGTTTAGTTATCTATTATGTCTAGCTGAGTTACAGTGACATGTTTATACTAGACACTTGTAGTTAACTCCTGCCACACAAAGTGAAATGTTTAATAGAAATTGTATTGTAATATGCACTTACTCACCATATGAATAGAAAAATGACCAAAACTTCTGGGAACAACATGAATACTGTACATTGCTAAAAATTTATACAAGCCTCAATCACTTCTTTTCACTAAACATTCGGAGTAATGATTATAGTAGAGTTTAGAGAGTAGCAATAAACTTTTTGTATAACCGACTTTGTCAATTTCATGATGATGAAGTAGGAATTGAATTCATGTAGTTTGTAAAACTCCAGATCAAATTATAAATCAAATAAGAATTGATATTTTACTTAAAATCATAAATAACATTTCATAAGGACTGGAATATTTCGAAAGCTAAATTTGCGCAACTGATTACCAAGGAAAAATTCAAACACACTCCAATCATCATGTGGTATATGCTACTCATGTTGTCAGATATAACTTACATGTAACACCAGTCAGAAGTGGAATGGCTAGTAGGGTGGCGTTGGCTCTATTAGTCTCAGTCGACGAAGGGAAGTAGTGAGATATCCGGTTACCGGGTGGACATCTTATGTAGATGGCCCAGCAGATCAACACTGTTACGGAGGTCAATACACCTGCTTCAATCAACGTTTCGATGGACAACGTGGCACAGACTGAAGCAAACAAGGAAGTGGCACGGCAACAGTGACTTTCTTTTAAATGGGAGACGAGAGTAGTATATGCTAATTCGGTTGACATATATAAGTAGTACGTAACACTCATCCGAAGTGGAATACATGACAGCAGACGATTATAAGAAGATCGAATTGAAGACAACAGGAATGTAAACTGAGAGTAATTGGTATAACTGCAGGAATGAGGGAACAATGAATTCTGTAAGAAACATTTAAAAGGAGATATACAAATAATCTATTTAATTTCATACACATAGTTCCTTTTATTATCTTAAAGAGAGCAAGAACAAAGATTGGTGCAGAATAATATGAATTCATTTTATTTCGTTAGGTTCTCATCAGCTGCTTACAACCTAAATTATTTGAAATTCCAAATTATTACAGATATTGACATACTTATACATAAGAGGGTGATTAAGGATGAATAAATGTATCATGGTGTAGTGAAGATTCAGATAGAGTTAATGAGGTCATAAAATTTTGTCTCGAATAAATAGAGTTTGAGAGGGAAAGTTCCGGAACATTGAAATAGTGATTAGAACTCATGAAAATAGATTAATGGTAATAAAGAAAATATGAATTGAAATCAGTCAGTTATGTATGATGTAATTTAAAAGAGTTGGAGTAATAACGCAATAAATATATAGAGAAATAAATGAATAAAAGGGGGGTTATTGTTACCAGGGTAAAGAAACATTTATTACTGTCTCTTTTTGGATACACAGATCTGGTTTTAGACCTTTGATTGCTATTGCTTCGGCAAATTTCAAAGGGTTGGAGTTTGATTGTTTGTTAATCACTTTGAAGGAATTCAGTATATCAACCTCATGTCCTTTGTCAAGGAGATGTCTTGTGATAGCACTCCTGGATGCTTTTAATCCATTTAATCTTAAACTTTTCGGAATATGTTCTTTGAATCGGACGTAGGCTCTCCTTTCTGTTCTACCAATGTAACTGCTTTGGCAGATACATGTAAATTTGTATACACAGTTGGTGGTAACATGAAAGGGATACTTGTCGACCTTTGATTGTGTCAAAGAACATGTTGTTTTGGATAGGACAATCAATTTTGCTGTAGGATAAGTTCTTGTCAATGCAGTTTTTAGGCTCATATTGATTGATCCTGTGACATCGTCACCTTTGAATTGAAGTTGAATAAAAATAGGCTTTTTATTTGCTGTAGTTTCTTTGGGTTTTTTATCTTCACGTTTGCCATATTTCTCAATAAATTTCAGTGGGTATTCGTTATTCTTTAAACATTTTTTAACATTCATAACTTCCTCTTCTAGTGTATCGGAAGTACATATTCTTTCTGTTCTGTGAAACAGTGTTTTGACCAGTGCCTTTTTGCAACT